TATATATATGGTAAGCCATCTGTAGGAGGAGACGACGCTGTTCATTTAGCGTACGCGTTTCGAAGGGTGACCTGTATTACACACATAGGTCTACTGCTCCACTTCGAGTGCCTGTAAGTGTCCTGTTGCCTTTTCTCCAGAGGTTTCGAAAAGCCTGCTAAAAAACCTCCACCATCGCCATATCTGAGACAGTCCAAATACAGTTGAATTTTACATTGAACCTTTCATAATAGTTCATCGTCGTATTTGCAAGCTCAGCGCAATCCATATTCGGCAGCACGTTTCCATATGGCGTGCAGACACTCACAAAGCGTCAAGGGAGCCAGACATTAGCTAACCACAGAGGGAAAGTTTAAATTGAGCCCAGTGTTGTCAGTTCCTAGAACGGGCTTTGTCTGTCTAAAATATAACATGTCCGCCCGCAGTACATTGATCTAAATCCCAATCTAATTCTCTTACCTGTTCAGCGAACAACGCAATGTCATTTATAGTGTTTAAGCTCTCTCGGTAACGTTTCTCTTTTCTTGATCGCTTCCTCAACCTTCGTAGTCAACTCCTATATGTATATATATAGCTTCCTTCCTTTATATATATGTATATCCACCTAATGCCCGATACACCACAATATACTAACGACCATTTGTATACTGCTTTCGTGCATTGCTTCGTAATTATTATCATAAATATTATTGTCAATGGTATATCTACGATGTTATTTATTAGACTGATTACTCTTTTTGGGTGTCGTTCATAGCACAGGGTAGTTTTGTTATTAGTGGTTTGTATTTACTTTATTGTGTCGGTATGCCAGCGTTCATTTTATCAGCTGTTTATGTTCGTAATCTTCTATTGTTATACAATGGTAATATATTTCCATCACAAAACCCTAGCGGTAACAATACTTATGCTTGTTCATTTTTTTTTTTGTGTACGATCATCTTTCCCACCATTATTACGATGTTTATGTCATTAGAAATGTGACGTCTCGCTGCTGCTGCTGCTGTGGCTGTGGCTGTAGAAATCAGTCAATCAATCACCTACTATTTTCTCGCCGAATCGTTGATTTTCTCCGCCGGATCTCGTTTTGTTCGGTTTCAGGTCGATCGTGTGCTGGTTCGTGTACACCACAATGTCAAAGGGAGCTACCTACGCTGGTATGTGCCATATAACCCTTATATACGACACTCGTTCTTTCCTTTACCCTAAGTCTAACCTCTACGTGTCGTATTAATCATGTCTACCTTGTTGCGTCCCTCGTAGTGTTACCACCACTGTCATTTAGCATATATTATACTTGAAAAAATGTCGACGTCTTGTTTGTTGACGATGCCTGTGTTTGTCACTTGCTGGTTTGACGGTGGTCCTGAACTCTTTATCACTTGTGTTATGCTGTGGAACATGAGCCTCGCATGTCATTATTTACGGCTTGGTCTTCACTTCGTGACATGCGTTCTAGCACTAGTTATTGTTGTTGTGGAAAAACTTTTATCTGTCTGTTATATATTTCTGTCCCTATGTACTTCACATGATTCATTCTAGACTAATTTCACTATTGAATGTCTTGACTGGCCAGATAGCCTGGTGGTGGGCGTTCGCCGGCGAGAAGCATCCCGGCGACAACACAGATCGGGCGGGATCATCATAGAATGCATAGATTTTAAAGCTACTTATAGCATAATGACAGGAAACTAATTAAGACGGTTCCAGACGAGGGAAGGTTTGATTGCACGAAGGGTATCCCGCTACAGTAAAATATCCATAGTGTAGAGATCTCCTTTATTTGCAACTAAATTGAATGAGCAGACAGCGGCAGTTCTAAGTTAGCGGCGTCGGCCGCCCAGCCAGAGAGAATAGTCGTTGTTATTTTGTACCGCGCGATCGCTTGTCAACAACTATATGATTCATTCTACATTAGTTCATGGTAACTGTTACTACTAGTATTGTTGGTATTAATATGAGACTTGTTGTATAATCATCACAGATGCTAGTTTTTATAGTCTGAATATACTTCCATATAATTATTACTACTACCGTCCTCGTAAAGACTTGCAACATCAAAGTGGCTAGTTAAAATACCAGTGGTAAGTATTTATGAGTGTATATTGGTCTATCTACTATTACTGCAGTGACACCTTAATAAAAGTAAACAAAAATTAGTCCAGTCATTTAAACCGTCCTTGAGAGCCTAGCTATCTATATTGGGGGTTTACTAACAGCCGTGCCACCGTTCTGGCGTAGGGCATAGTCAAGGTCTCCTTCGGCCCTAACTCTAGTTGGTCGAGGGCAATAGTATGCCACTTTCGTACGTGTTTCTACGGCGGATTCGCTACAGAAGGTTATTTTGTTGTTACATTGGCGGCTAGTGTAGTTGAGGCAGTTTCTCTCGTGAAGACGACACTAATGGTTCCGGAACTTCTACTGGGGTAACTTGTAGTTCTTGGAGCGTACGCAATCAGCATAATCCAGTTCACAGATAGCTATTATATCATGATATCGCATAAGCTAAGATCATACTAGCTGTTGCCGTTAGGAATAACAACTATAAGTCTAAAAGAAAATCGTGCGTGCGTGCGTGCGTGCGTGCGTGCGTGCGTGCGTGTGTGTATCTGCAGTCACGGTCTAAAACGGCGTTGGCTTACCGTATGTATGCGACTGCGAGAACTTTGACTAATTAGTATCGTTGAAACACTTTGGGCGCATCGAGAGTCCGTGTACAGTCTCATTACCTTCGTAGCACAAAAAAATTATCCCCGTTTTAGCCTCTACGTTGTTTACTGCGGCGTGATTCCTCTTCGACGTGACAAGGTCGGCTTATTCCACACAGTACTTTTACTTTCCATTTGTCGTTCATATTCGACCTTTATAGACATTTAACTCATGCTCAGTAGTACGTTTCGGTGATGTTAAACAGCAAATACAATAGAGATCCGCGTCTGTTTTTTGTTTCCTCTGCGTGCTCTCTACGTTTGCCAACATTATATTTGCTTTTCTTCATTTTGTTCTCCCTATAACAGTGCAGTGATGAAGGCCGTTTAACACTTCTTGCACGTTCCAGCACTATATCGATTTATGCTCTTCCACGTCGTTATCATCGTCATCGCCGTGGTAATAGAATAGGAAGGAGACCCGGTCGCGGATCTTTTTGCCGGAGTTGGCGGTCTGTTGCCAGAGACACCGGCCCTTATTTAATGCCTTCTTCTGGGCATACAGTGCCATAAATAGGCGCTCGCAATAGACGCTCAGCATACGCGACAATATTTCTGTTATTCAATTAGCGTCACTTTTCTGATGTTCCCCCTTCGGCTCGTTCTTATTGGTCGTCGGTTGAATCGAATACGGGGGGGGGGGGGGTGTCGTTCCTTATTTTTCTTCCGTGCATCTTTGTCTGTTTGTTGGTCATCGTTACTGCGGGACACAATATGTTTATTTGTGTGTGGATTTTAACCTATCATCGTTATCCATCTTTATTCTTGATTTCATCAGATTCGTCACTTTTTGGCTGGTATTTGTTGTTTCATTTGTTTTTCTCTTCGTAACGGCGCCGCCTATCTAGCGGTTTAACTGTTGTTTATATACCTACTCTACAGTAGTAGTTACTGTATATGGTTGTTTTTTTGTGTGAGTGTGTGTAGTTTTGCGTTATAAGTATGCGACAGTGAACTGTGCATATATGCATAGTTCACTTTCGTATACTTGTTCACAGACGGGGCCACGGTTTCCCTGTGTAGCCGTCACAGTTTCTCTTTCCCTTTGGTTCATGTTACTCTCCTTTTTATCTAGCTCTCGCGTTAGTCAACGTTAGCTTCTACTTTTATTTCCGCCTTAAACTTGCAAACAAACACGCGAATATTTTACCCCTTTACATTCTGCTTTTTTTTTTTTGGTGTACCGTCTTTTCTTTGCCTGCTTTATTTCTAAGGCAGGAGAAGGACATAAATTGTCCTAAGCGAACCGACATACAACATTGCCTTAACGATGTTCTATCCGGCTGTCGGCTATGGTTGTCAATAAAAATTGTCTTGCCTACTCATATTTGGTGCTGATCGTTTTTACTTGTATTTTTTTACTCGCAGTGTGTGTGTGTGTGTGTGTGCGGTTTTTTTCAATGAAATTATTTGAATTTCATTAGATCTTCCGTAGTTCGGCCCAACTGGACTGGATTTTACAGCAGTAACAATTGTGGTATAAGCGTTCATCATCCGCTTCGCGCTATTGACGCGTATCATGTCCAATTTTGAGACATGGCTAGTTAATCACTCTCCATTTCCCCGACCTTGTTTGTTTCCTAGACCGATCATCAATATTGGTCTCACCGATCATTTACCATTCTCAGAACTCGTTTCCATTACAGAACGATAGATAGGGAGATGCAATTTGGCACATTATATGGAGAAAGTAAATGCGTTATACGCAAGCTGGTGCAATGACAACCCTTAGCACCGTGATCCAGACATTATACGGGTCTCGCATTTGTGTGACTGGGCTCATGCAAAAACTTCTGGTCGGTCTAAGAGACGGTCGACGCACTTTATATCTTATAGAAATTTATCTCTAATTTTATTAGATAGCAATAATGTCGGTCAGAAAAAACTAGTTATACGCCACCTTAAAACGCATGCAGACTATCACGGAGGTGATGGTATGCCGCAATCCATTCAGTATATTTGGGATTGGTATCATCATATCTGTTGACTTTCTAGTTTTTTGCTTCGTAGGTGCTTTCGACCACATTTGATCTAGTTTTATATGTATACGCTGTGTACTTATTCATAGGGTTCGTCGACTCATTTATTAGGCTTCATTTGAATATCTCCCAGTCTTCGGTGGTCGCGCACAGACATCATCAAACGAGAGTGAGCCCCAGTCTACCCGGCGTGAACCCTAGCCGCATCTGTGCACATTCACAAAATACATAAATAAAATAGAAAACAATTCCAGTAATAGTAGCAATTCTAATATGTGTCAGAATCAATATTACATGGTATCATCATACGCATCAGTATGATCCACATACACTGTGTTACCATATATATAACTTACATCAAATATGTCTTCGTTTATGTGATGCTGGCGAGTACTGGCTCGGTTTAAAGCTGCCCGCCTATACCTCATCATCATTATTACTTCTTATTTTATAATTACTCCCGTCATGCGTTACGCATATCTACATCTGTTACGTGTTTTTATCATCGGTATCGCCGTCTTTGGTACAAAATGATTTCGCTCTGTTTATCTGTAGAGGATAGCTCTTCATGGAATTATGCCGGTCCTTCAGATTTCATTCTTCCTATATTGTCCAGCCGCGGAGCGATTCCCTTTCAAAACAGATCGGCAAACTCGGTTCCCTGCTTTCGAATTCTGCCATTGGTGCGGTTCCGTTCTGGCCATCGATGATTCTGGCCGATGCTCAGCAGCAGCTACTACTCGTTGCCGCTGAATCACATCTATAATTTCGGGCCCTAAGATGAGTCTCAACAACGAAGCGACAATGTATAGATCAGGATAATATTTGACTTCTGCCGGTGGTTCTTTGCCATTATCAACTGATGTATTGTGAAGAAGGGCGCCCTCCGTTGACCGATCAATGTCGTACTCGTTTTTTCATTACTAATTTCTTCTATATGTATTTATTCAGTAGCTTTTTACTCTTCACTGTCCCACTGCGTTTACCGTGTTATTGTTCCAGCAGTTGTATGTTGCTACGATTTCTTTGCAGTACCAACCATCCATCGCTGCAGTTGATTTAAAATTTTTCTATTTTCTGCTAGCTTATTTTTAGTAAGGGGTTCTTTCCAATAACCCCTTCACACCTCGAAGAATCCTTTACTCTTATATATATATTTGTTGTTGTGTTTGTATTAGTTACCTGTATTATTATTATTAGCCGTAAGATCCTTTCGCACCTGTTTCTCTTTCCGTTATTTCTTCACATTATATCGTATAATAATAAACTAGAATTGTTGTTTTTTATTTATCAGCACCACGGCGTGTGATTGTATCCAGCTAATACCCTAACAATAGTATATATATATATATATATATATTAGCAGTACACCTAGATATATTGATTCTCCTATTAGACTTTGAAGCGTTTCTAAACGCCTCGCCGCCCGTTTCGTCATTGGGTCATAATAATAATAATAATTGTTTATATTATCGTATAATTATTTCAACGTATTTGACCTTTGTTTGTTTTCTTGTAGCTATATTGATCTTCATTAAATCTGCAATTGCCGTTGCAATCAGCGTTCTCATCCGCGACCGCGTCTGCATGTCTCCCCGTATACATATATAGATTTGTATGTTTACGTATCTATGTCGTATTGTTTGTGTCAATACACATTGGATTGGCGTATATTTTTTCTTTTGACTCATTCACTCGTACAGTGCATACATCCATGCTGCCCCCTCATCATCCATTCCAGCGCTGTCACCGTCCTAAACACCCTTTCATTATTCCCTCCATGAAGCAATTTTCAAACTATATCAATATCTGTTCATGTTTACGCTTCTTTCTTGTTAGGCCACCAGATTATTCCATCGCGTATCGAGTCTGTGCTTCATCTGATTTCTGTAATAACTAAGCTCAATTCTCGTGATCATCGTTAAAATTATCATTTTAAATTGTCAATACAATAGGGTAGTTGTGGTTGTTTTTTGTTGTTGTCGTTATGTTGTTCGAATTATGACATCCGAGTCGCACTAGGGGGTCTCAACGGTGGCTCCACGGCAATGCGTTCCCACGCCCGTTATTCCCCTCCACTTCGTCCTCTTCGATAGACCTTTTCAATTTGAAAAATCTTTGCCTCCTTGGACAAAATAATCATCGCTCGTCTCGTAGTTTTAAAGACCGGAGGCGAGTTAATGGCCAAAGGTTGAAGAAGCCCCGTCCAGCCCGGTCATACGAGGCTTTACTTTGCGAGGACTGCACAACCGAGATATCAACAGTGTCTCGCTCTGACGTGGAAGTTCGAGAAGTGGCTTTTTTGTCATCAGTGCAATTTTGTGTCCTGACGACGGACACTGGTTGATATTGTACGCATAAGAACCCCGTATATAATCTAGTTCGAATTCAAGGACAACTGACATTATGGATTTAGCTCTGTGGCCAAATTATTCGGTCAGTGTTTTTCAGGATAAACAGTCCAGAATGTAGTTATTTGCAAAGTTCAAGTTCTGAAGTTCCTTTGTCTGGTGTCGCGTCGCGTTGCGTACATCAACAGCGTCGAGCTTTTCAGCCGGAGAAAGTCTAGCCGGGCAACACGGTTCCGATGTGTCGAGGAGATGTCTTATGTTCCACTGAATAATCTGAGTTCGTTACAGCTGAGCTCTTATTTTGGCTCTTTTTCTCATTAAAGTTAACTTTTTTCGTTTACCTTTACTTTTATTCGGGTTTACATCATTAGCCGCTCTAAACGATGTGTCATGGCGCAGCAACACGTACGCTGTACAAAGTACGTATTCAACACTTGTTGGCTATTCAACACAAATGAAGATAAATCTTCTCAGCAGAGATCTTCTACACCGTACATGAGTGTGCCTGTTTCTCCTAGCATACTCTTCATATTTTGTTTGTCCCTTTGTTCGGAGCCACCTATTTGCTTTATGCGGTTAACATATTTTCAGTTGTGGTTGTTTGTTCTTCTGTTATTAAAAAAAAAAGGCGAAGAGTGGCCAGTTGGTTTGTCCGGGAGACCGGAGCCCACTCTAACTGTTCAACGCATTGACTGATCGGCATGGGACATGTAAATCCCAGGCTGCATTTGCCTGAGACGACAAACTAGTATTTATTCGGCTTTTTGGGTCAGGTTAAGGTTCAGCCAGCACGCTTCAACAGTACGCCATACCGCAGAATCTTTGTATCGATAAGTATGTCCTGTAATGTTCCTGAGTACTACGGTGTAAAGTGGGCTTACTTGATTCCTGTTGGGCGCCGTTTCAGGACGCTGTTCAGCTTTTGTCAAACCTTCCCATTCATGTCAACAATGGCGGCCCTATATGTTACAATATATCTGTATATGTGTTTCGTACATAATGGTTCGGTCAAACAAAAACACAACTTTTTGCTTTAAATTCTACCCTCATTTTTTTGCATTTTCCCTATTCATTCTCGCTCCTTGGCTTGTAGTGGCTAACTGCTTTTGAGTTGGCGATGCCGTCTGATCTGGTCACCATTCTTTGTCCATGGCCATCTCTGGTCATTTGCTACTACGCGTTGGTCCTATGTGTTATTAACAGCTTGGTCGGTTTAGAATAGATGTGTGTGTGAGTGTATATGTGTCTTACGGCTAGTTCATATAGCTTTGTGTATGTTTGCCTATGATTTCTGGGCATTGCTTTTTATTTTGCGTTGCTTGTTATCTTCGATCTCCTAAGGACACATAGGGCATACGTAGACGGTTCCTCAAAGGCGCTATGGATCCTTGCCAATGAAATGGCCATGGATGTCATAAAAAATCCGCAATACGTGCGCGCTGCTTCTCCTCCTCCGGCGTTGTTTATCTGTGTATGAGCCGATACTACCATTTCTGGTCATCTATGCGCTATAGATAGATTACTATTTTAACATTCGCATTTATGCCACGGCTTTTCCCGAATTGAGTTTTTAGGGTTTCAGAGCTTTTCTGCTTACACATTTCGTCAGCTCCCGGTTCAAAACGGAGTCTCCGCCTTACAACTTAACCATGTGGCGATGTCCGCCTTCAACGGTCTTCAACACCTTCAAGATAAACAACAGTAATAAAGACTTTCTATTTCAAACCAGAGTTGCTTCGTATTTAGGCGTTGCTGTTCATGTTGATCTAAACTTACTTCTAACGTTCGATTTCGCCCGTCTTTTTATCTGCTTGAGTCGATCAGGTCTTCATTAGTCAGCCCTCAGGTAATTCGTTCACTTGAGATTGTAAATAAAATTGTAAAGGGATAGTAAGTGTTATAGAGGTGCAGCGTGTGCTCTGAGCGCCCGATCGATTTGGATCGATATAACACGTTTAGGTTGCGGCGTCGGGCTTGATCGATTTATAGTACAGAGCTCAGTCGATAAGAGTAGCTATAAAATGAGTATGAATTAAAAAAAAATTGAGTCGGAAAACTCAAAAAAACAAGTTACTCTGCCTATTATTGATATTGCGATGTGTCTCTCGTTTTCATAAAACGCATTGCGGTTCTCTTAGTACTGTTCAATTATAAGAAGATAATTACTAATTAGTAGAATTGTTAGCGGCGTTGATCAAACTCGATTTTCCCTCAACGTTCATTCTCTTCAAGCTGATTAGTTTCTTCGGTGTTAAGGTTGCTTAAAAGTGGAGTCAGGATCATCATTATCACCTATCATTCGAAGTGAGTGTACGATGTGAGAAAAAATGTCGTGGGCAAGCGGAACACGCTCAGCATATCGGTTGTTCTTTGCCCCCAACATTGGTTAGAGTAGTTTCTATTTTTTAAAATTAGTCAGTCTGAGCTTCAAACATTGCTAAAGTTACGCTCGTTCTCCACGTAATACAAACTGACGCAATAGCACTATTTTGTTATAGAGTACAAAATTATCACCCCCATTTTATATTCTCTTATGTGTGTAGCTTCTATTTGGTATGTGTAGATGTGAGATCGATTTTTTTCTTTCATTTGCTCTGCTCTGCTCTGCTTTGTTGCAAGGCATGTCGCAACTTGAATATGACACGCGTTAATTAACGCTGACCGATCGGACATTAGTCGAAGGCCGCCGGCCGCCACCCAGCTTATTCGGTTCGTATCTACCGGTGACGCTGCACCTTTATTGCTAACTGGGCAGCGGCTAAATGCAGGACCTTCGCTCTTTGGTACTTAGCTATACCCACGCTAACAATGTTTGTTGAGGATGCCTACTTTTCGCATGTCCGTTAGGAATGCGCGAGAAGTTGGAGCTGCTGTGTGACATAAAGCCTCGCCTAGATTTTCCGTAAACCACCTGTCGGTCGAACGCCGTCTCTAGCGTGGCATGCAGTGTTTTTGCATTCATCTTCAACGATACATCATACTAAACCGTCGGTATCATCTGTGAATATGGACCTTCTCTTCTCTAGACTACAATTTCGGTCGCGATGATCTCACGGGTGCGCGCGGCGTGAACTGCGTCCAGAGCGAAGCCATTAACCCAGGCCATTCGGAGTGACGGATTGAGGTTCTGTCTTCTCCTGAAGTATAGAACTGTTGTTTATTGATGCGTCTGATACTGCTGCATCGGGTAGGTGGTGGCCGGCAAGAGGCTGGCCGGTTGCTGGCCAAGCGGGGCACTTTGCCCACCTTGGCCTGCAGGCCAGGCCACTTGTAAGCCCATCCTGAAACAAGGACACGCAATTCAAACCATGCAGCTAGAATTAGATGTTTCGTGACTTCTGGACGGCTAGTTCATATATACATAAACACCTACCTTTGAAGCCATCTTAATTATGTAACGCCGTTCAAATACCTGATTAGGATTTGGTTTGACACACTTTATCTTCTATTACGCTTCTATACAGTGGCTTGGCGATAGACAGTTCCACGAGGAAGATTAAGTCAAAACTGTACCATGCTTCACGCGCTACTGAAGAGTTGAAGACAAATTTTTTGTGAACACCTACAACAGAGATGATGCTGTAGCGATTGTTTATCTGCCTTGGTTTTATCGTCTGTCGCCTTTCCAAGGCTGTAGAAGGACGTCGAAGCTCCTGCATGTGTTCAATATCTGAAGCTTTTTTTAAGCTGTAGAGAGGTACTTGGCTGTATACAAGTAGATTACGACCGACTGAACCTCCTGTTGTCTATTTCTGTCTCTGTTTGTATACATGTATAGGCAGTAGGGAAGGTCGGCAGTTTTGGCCGCCATCTCCGTGGCTTTCGCTGATGCTAGAAAACAACTGGCATGTTAACGTCTCTCAGAAATCGCTCACCTTTTGCTGGACGATAGGCCAGCAAGTGTCGATAGCTGCTCCTTTAGAGCGTGTGCTATCGGCAAAGTGGGCGCCTATCTTAGCCCAACGGGTCATCGAACCAACCAGCAGGCCGAAAAGACGAGGTAAAGAACATCGGCCATCGACGAAAGCTGAGCCAGGCAAAAGTAACCGAATCGAGCCGAACGTTCTGGTTCGCGGCTTAGCGAGCTGGTGGTTTGCCCGATGTGAAGCAGCAGCCAAGTTCTACGAGACACCTTCCGCTCGACTGGCTTCGCAAAGCCGCAGTTGCGGTAATCGGGTGAAGCTAATAATTGGGTAACATAAGAATACCGACGATGCAAGGCTCTGTGTGGCTCGTTATGTAGTGCGTTGACCACGAAATCAACTGCCCGCACTATTACGTGACAGTCAATGGCTTCCCCTTCTGTTTCTGCTACTTTAGCAGTGAGCGTTACATTCAAGCCAGTGCAACTAGTAGCGGTAGTGCAAATAGAAGTAGTTCGGCTAATTAGCTAGATAGACGATTGCTATGCTCTGAAAGAAGTAGCTTAGAGGGCTAAATCTGACAACGAGCCGCCATCTTACCCAACTAATCAGCCAGTCGAAGCATCGCAACACTGTGCCGCCACTGCTGCCACTAATAGTCCACTCATACTAACTGTCATGCAGGCAAAGAGCGGAGGCGGATGTCTAATAGCCTCAGTTACCGACTGCTCTTCTTTCTGTCGTCACAATGGAGACAACGATAAGTGTAGTTAGCCAGGAAGAGGAAGGAACGACAGCGGCCCCAGCACTGCGGCTGTAGTGGCCTTTGACTGCAAGCAATGTCTACATCGAAGGGCAGCAAAGGGATCGCAAATGATGCACGCGAAAACGCCACGTCCATTCGTGGCTCTTTCAACCTGCTATCCTTCGACCAGCCAACCTAGTTCCATCAGTTACCCAGAGCGTTGCCGGCGTTCGATGTACAATCTCACAACAGGCGGCCTTGCAACATTGCTCACCCGGCGACTTGCGACACCGGAGAGAACGGCATGGTCGTTGATGTTTCTATTGCACTTACACCAGCCATTAGCTGTGAAGCCATCGTGTTCTCTAGCATCGTGCAAGCGTTGGGAAAAGGGGTCAGACGTACGGATGGGGACTTGGGACGAAAGCAGAGACATTTGGTGGAGACATTTAAGCATGGCGACTTAGCCTTAGGAGGAGTTTCTAGGTATGTTACTGATATAAGCGGAGTACGAACGCTCGAGGCCGTCCTGCCCGCTCGCCTTCCGTATTTCTCTATCGGTGCTTTTCATTCCTTTCGGCTACACCGGTAGACGCCGTGCAACGATACGGCAAGAAGAGGAAGCTGGCAGGCTAGACAGCAGCAAAGATCGGCAAAAAGCACGCCTACCAAAAAATGATCACTTCCCGTCAGGGTTGGGAATCAGTTCCGGCGTGTCTTCCGGTCGCTCAAATGACATTAGCCCATCGTTGTCTTCGGCGTCATTTGCTTCGTACATTTCTATTCAACCACTATGACTAACGCTACTGCTATTCCTATGTCCGTCGCATAAGTGCAGTCGGCGAGGCGAACGCTACAGCTACCGTCGTTGTTGCCGTCGCTATTTGCAACAACGGCTTGATGAAATGCGGCCTGTCGCTCGCTGCTTGTTTCGCATGTGTGACTAGCTAAGACCCGCTGTAAAGCTACTGCTCGGGCCTAAAAATCAGCCAGGACATATTTGTGATTTCTGCTGGGGTTAGCAACGGTACGACAGCTGCAATTGAAACAGAAAGAATGAGACTTGACGGTGATGGCAGAGGTTGCGCTTTTCGGTGTTTCTCTATTTGACTTTGGTAACCTGGTAGCGGCGGGAAACAATGGAGCAAAAGAGTGACAGGCAATAAAGGGAAAGGGAAACGACAGAGTTGCGAATCCACCAGACGCTCTGTCAATGAAGTTGAACGGCAGGAGTTGAACGAAGCTTGGCCAAGGCTTTGGAAGAGCCTGCAACTTGTAAACTCTTTCGTCGTGGAAACGTCGTCAGAAGGGAATCGCGCAGGGATGCACGGACCAGTCGACGGACGAACGGGTCAGCGAAACCAAATGTACTGCCTTACTTGGCATGCTTTGAATGAATGCATAGAATAGATCACGTGACCACAGGCCCGGCCGCCCCTAGCAGTAACAGTCACGGCTGAAGGGGGTCTTCAATGGACTGGCTGGCCTACGCTCGCGTACCACCATCTGTTCACCCGCCTCCACTACGTGAGAGCAGTGTCAACAAGCATAACGCAAACGGAGAACGAATAAATGAAAACCATGAGCAAGTACGGCTTAACACTACTGACTAAGAAAGAAAGCCATTCGACGAAAGAGCACCTGAAACAAGTCGAGCTGGAGAACTAGGACGACCTCAATAAATCCAAGCAGTTACAGAAAGGCTACTGAGAGCCCGACATACACGATGTACGTGCACCCAAATTGCAATTGTGATTTTCTGCGAAGTCACGAACACTATCTGAGCGTAAGTATCGAGTTAGCGTAACGCTTTATCCTCTAGAGCGCTTCCGCTAAATTTATTTTGGACACATAATGTTTTTTCACACCAAGTGAGGAATACTTTTTCAAAAAGCAGTTCATCAGAAATTCTTATGTATCCCCCTTTACTGGATTATAGCTGTATGTCAAATCCACGTACGTATATTGGCATTCATGACGCAAAAAACATATTAAAATGAATTTGCACTCAGAAAATAACCTAAGAAAAGTACAGCGAGGGACTACAGTGATACTTCTGTATCATTGTAGTTGTTATACACTTTTCAGCACTTCAGATGTAGAAGAGGTAAAAATACCGTCTAAGTTGGAACCGTTTCTCTACCTCTCTACCATATAGGTAGAAAATCAATGTGCTCCAAACAATAGCTGTTTGGCGTTCAACGTATCGTGATAGCGTAGAAGTATAGTCTTAAGGTGGATGTACTCACGCGCTGTCCTCTGGGCTGTTGGGAAATCCGGTTGATTGTTATCTTATTAGGCATTTAATGGTAGCAAAGATACAAGAGGCGAAAAGGAATCGGCGACGAGAGACCATAAGCGACTCAGCCGTCTCTACATTACCTCCGGAAAACCACGAACCAGCCAGGCGAGCATCTACATTTGCTTTTGCCGCAGTAGAACCAGATAACTCTCGTACCGCCTGTCATTCCTTGCCTTTACCATGTAGCGCGCATTGAGCTTCGGGAATTTCCCCGTCCCACGAGGGGTATGAAGACCCACGAGAGACAGAGGGAAACAGGTCCGATCTGGGAAGGAAGGAAGAAAATAATCTCGATTGGCAACATTTTTAATCGTTGCCGTCAGCTTTTGCCGCCCTCAGACCTGGCCTAGCTAGACTCTAAACTAGTGGGCGAGTCAAAACGGCGGCGGCCGTCTCTCATCGACTGAGACCATTGAGGGGGACGTTGGCGACCTAACGATTCCGAAACCGAAGTTTGAAACTTTTATTTACACGAGATCGATCTAGTTTGCTTTAGGAGTGAATTGAACGTCGGGAGATGAGTCGGACGTTGGGGAAGATGCCGCTACCGCAGGCGACATCGACACAGAATCCCTGGCCGATGGCGAGCAATGGGCCAAGAGGTGACAGGAAGGAGGAACAGCTAAAATCCCCGAAAATCGGCAAAAATGCAGATACGTTCGGATAGAATGAATGACGGCAGTCACGAAGAGGTCCGAAGCCGTCTACGTCGCCATTAAGGTCGGAGACCCGGCAACTATTGACAAGACGCAACGCCGACATTAGTTAGAGACTCTTGTACTCACTTTGTTGTCGCTGCTGTTACCGATGCTGCAGGGGCTTTCTTATTCGAGTTCTATTTTTCACTCTACGTTTACTTTTAAAAAGAAAACGTAGTCCGTCGGTTACAGCAGTGGATACTTTTTTCGTAGTTGCCATTGCCTAATCCTTGACATTTCCATGGAGTGCGTTAAAAAAATAACACTCTTTTAATTTTTCTGAGCCTCAATCTACTCCAGTTACCTCTTAATCGGTACGAAGACGGCGCCAAACGTCACGAACCTACAGCGGCTTTTTGTGTTTGAGCATCGCTTGTTACTACCAGTAGCAATATTCGACGACGATAGGCTCCAGCAACAGCAGTAGCAGCGAGCTAGCGCGCTTTTAAGCACTGTATACAAGGGTCCTCCCAGCTTTCGTTTCCCTTGTCCACATTATTCGTGAGCTCAGCAGCGACCGGTCACCGACTCCAGTTAGTGTTGGGCGATAGCCTACGGTCAGTCGCTTCCAGTCAACAAGAACGACGACGAGGGGTCTACTTCGTCGCCGTTGGCGTCACCACAGGAACGCAGCAAGTCGTTCTAACATTTTCGTTACACCGACAGGTAATTCACAAGGGAGTCCATAGTCTTTAAATGGACAAAAATAAGCCGCAGCATCTTGCCCTCGCTAGTGTAAAGACAACTATTTGATTGCCCTCAGGATGGCAGAGCAGGGGATAAAGGGGCACACAGAAAACGAACATAGAAGACGATGATGTCTGTTTGATTCTACTCACCCGAATCCATTGCCGAAGTACTGCCCATACTGGTATTGCACGGCAGTGGGAGTCGTGCCTTGAACGAATTGTCCTGGCTGGGCGTAGTTCTGCGGGTACCAGTAATTCATCTGCTGGTACTGATGATACGGGATTTGGGCGGCCGCGATTGTCTGAAAATAGAAAGGCAAACTAGCAATGAAACAAGCGACAAAACGAAAATTAGGAGCTGATATTAACTGTAGTATTCAAATACAGCAAAAGCTTAAAACCGAAAAAAGATGAAAAAAATAATGAAAACGCGAACCAAACAGTGCAGGTAGAGTTGCAAAAACGACCCAAAAACGTGACAGACAAAAAAAGAAAGAGCAGCAGCTTGGAAACAGAAGCCAGTTCGGCGAAGTCATTTGGGACTGCAACCTGGCAAAAGAATGAAGCTGGAACAATTGAGGACGCCAGCGTGGCTTGCGTGGGTAACATGGCTGAGCGCTGTGTGATGGTGGAGCCGCCATTTCTTTAGCCGTAACTTGGCCGCATCGTAGCAAGCTCTGCCTTTCTCTTCGCTATAGTACATGATCAGCATTACTGAAGAACTCTCGGGCAGATTGGTAGCGATCCCCCATGCCACCGGCAGTGAAGGCGCCACTAGCGGGCGAGGCAACACCTCGCTTATAACCATTGCTCGGCTACCGCCTACAGTCAGCTTCCTGATTGCCCCGTGTCCGTCTTTACTGCTCCTGTTCTGTAGACTTTATCTCTCTCCTCCTTCTTTGCTACTGTTGTTTCTTCCGTTGCTTCTATAGCTGCTATACTAGAGGACTGTGTTCTTTTAATGCATTCGTGTCTGCTATATAGGTACTGACGCCAACATGAGATGCTATTTCCACCACCGTCTACGGAAGGCGATGGGCCTCTCGCAGTGAGGTAAACTTGGACAGCTGTCGCAGGTAGCATCCGGCTCCCAGAAGGGTACTTACATGCTGTTGCACCTGTTGGTTGTTGGGATCGCTGGATTCTTTGCCCCACGAGCACTTGACGATCTGGCCGTTTACCTCGGTGTTATGGACGGCAACAATTGCGTGCGTAGCCGACTCTTTAGTGGCGAAACGCACAAATGCGTAACCTTTGTCTTTGAAAACACGAATCTCCTGAATGATTCCATATGAGCTGAACGTCTTCTGAATAAGCTCCTCGCTGAGTCCCTGACCTAGGCCTATAGTGAAGTGAAGGAAATCGAAAAAATACGACCCCAAACAACAGTTATTAGAGGCGAATAATAAGTGCATATATATATATATATATATATATTCCTGAAGCAGCTACTTACCTCCGCAATAAACGGTACAATTGGTAGGGCTAGCCTGGTTGTAAACCTCATCAAATGTAAGAGGCGTGTATTTAGGGGTGTTGCTGCCCTGCGAACCTTCTTGGCCACCATTGGCGTTACTGGTAGGCCGTCGCGTTGCCCAGTTGGTGCGAATCACTCGACCTCCAAGCCATTGGCCGTTCATCGAGTTGATTGCCGTCTCCGCATCCTGTAGAATAGTATCAAAGAAAATATAGTAAAGCGTTTTCTAATAATGGTAGTAGTAATTATAGTACTAGAATGCCTTGAACTCTACGCCTAGAATCGGCAACGGGCATGATTACGCCAGACGGCTGACCTCCTACACGGGCATTGTCTACTCTCAGCATCTGATGCATATACACCCCTCACAGAGTTCGTACCCACAATACTGCTGTAATTTGGTAGATGAAAGAGCTAATTGAAATAAACATGTTGGCCGGAGCTATTTAGTGGACCGAAAAATATTGATAACCTTTAGATCATCTAGGGTAGAACAACCATATTTTGGGATATGTTAGATGTGCTCTGCTAAGCCAGTGCCCTACAAACTTTTAAGAAACGATTTGCATATTTATATAAAATTTCGTTATTGGGGGTTTGCCGTTTTTAAACCATGAAAGCAATGAAAATTGGACAGGGCTATACCTAAAAAGCATCGGTTGGTTCAATTTTTTTCAATCTAAGCATCAATAAAAGCATGGCTATCATCAAATACACACTGTTCCGTTGACTATTGCCTTGCCACATATTCGTAAGGCTCTTCGGGACTTTGAAGTATCTGGCATTACCAATCGCTTCTTTTTTGGACAATGTGTCATCATAGTAAATGCCCCTCACATCAATTGTGAGCTTACTACCGAATCTACTTGGTACTGCCACCAAAGTAGCATTCGCTCCTATTTCCTACCATTATCCTGCCTAATACTTTGCTGGAAGAGGGTAAAGACTGGTCAGTATTTTGTTTATAACGCCAATGTACTCCAAACAAGTTCGTTGCTGTTTATAGTTGTGCCAACTGGGTCTCGAGTATATCATACATTTTTCCATCTGTATTGATCTCAGTTTACGCAAAGTCTTTCTTTTCGTTGTTTTCCTACTGCATATTCGTTACAATTTCACAAGACAAGCAATCTAGGGTAACTATGGTTCTCAAGGTTTAAATCGAATGTCAAATTGCTTGATGTACTTTGAAGACCGATGGAAAATGCTGTGCAAGACCCCGCTATGAAAAGCTTTGGCCAAATAGCTATAAAGCTGAAATGAAAATATCGGCGGACAGCCGGGCCAGCATTACACATTGAGTCAAAAAAATTCTCAGAGGTTAGGTGACGGTATCATCTAGCTAAGACAGGACGATAAAACCCTTAGTAAGCTGCAGCATTGCTGTGTGGGTCTGCGTGAGCCTGTGTCTATATGTCCGAATTACGGTGGTAGAAAGTCGACAAGCGGCGACCTAAGGTTTGCCGGGTTGAGAGATGTGAATGAAAAGTAAAAAGAATTAAATGACGACGAGCCCAAGCCAGTTTTATAGCAAAGACTATGAACGAAGACAATGCGCCGGATGAAGTCGCTAGCGTGGCCGTGCTGAAGAAAAAAAAACGAGAGGATGACCACCGTCGACGGAAGGTGAAGGTGATTCATTAAAAAGTTTTCCTTCCTTTTCGTGTGGTGCCCGGCAAAGCTGGCCGGCAGACTCCTCGGTCTCTACATACTCACACGCGCAGACGTACAGACACAAATACACTGCTTTCATTTCGTCAGGTCCTGCCAACTCTGTCTCACTTCTCTTTTAAGATAAGAAAAAAGCTCAAGCGCAACCAAAGTGGCACAGACCACCTTACATTTTCCATACTGACGAGTCCCGAGCACCCTTTCATCCCCCAGTCTACCTACTTATGAATCAGCAGTGTCGGGTCAGGTCAGTTGTCTGCAAATTCGCTCTGTGGCCTTGCTTTACCACAACCGACTACCGTCGTTGAGTCGACGTTTATACCACGTCTCCTACTTTAGTCTCATGCTCGCGCACCTGCTCATCTGCCTGTTCCTAACTTGTTCGCTGTTCGTTCTGCTTTGTTCGATGGACAAACGAACGGACTCCAGTGCCGCACCGTAATTTAGATCGAGTCTTTTGCCTTGAAAAAGCTCCGTTTGTCTGTCCAATCCGTCAGAGAAGGACAAATAGGCTGCGGATTTGAAAAAAGCTATGCGTCCATCTAAAGTCGTCACAGTTTCCCAGAGCATTTTGAAAAAAGAGGTGGCAATGTTTCCACCAGCCAAGGACCAGTCAGGAAGTTCGGGCAAATCTCGAGCACGAGCCTAACAGCCAACCAGTAAAGGTGGGCTCGTTGAGGCAGAGTGCATCAAAGCCCAGCTCAGAGTAGCCTTGTGGAGTGTCATTCTGTTCGCGATTCTATTCACCTCCTGACCTTGAGCAATTGAAAGCAGTGGAACGTGCCAGAACCGTAGAAGAGAGAACAGAATGGCACGATCCAACTCTTCCTTCTGACGATGTTGTGTACCACGACAGGACAACAACTCCATCACAATACAGGTAGTATTGTTATTTCCTACTATAGGTATCAACATCCAAGTATGCTTCAGATGATAAACTTTATGCGAGTTTGCAAAGAAAAGCATTTCATTTGTCCTCTTTCTAATTAGCTGGCCATCTGTGTATGAGTTAGACTAAATAAGGCTAGAAACCATACGTGCAATTGCAGAAATATACCGTTGATTGTATGTTTCGTCTATAGCATGTAAATATGTCGATAATATGACAGATAGTGATTATAATGTAGTACCATTAACAGATATACAGTAGGACTTTGTGCTCATTTAGCCGATCACCTCGGTAAAGGACATAACACTAGCATAATATGTATAAAATCTGTATTATGTGCAATGGGGACCGTTTGTTTAAACAGACAATTAAATTTGACTTCATATAGATCACATAAACCCTGCGAACTTACACCAAGCCCGTTTCTTCTTTAGTTTCTTCTGCTTACACTCGGATAGACACTCACACACCCATACACTCGCAAATATACAAATACACATACACATAAGCACACGTAACACACAGGGCCGGTAAGACTGCAGGACCGAAATGTAAATCGTCAACGAGCCTGAGATTGCTCGAGGTCGCGAGACTACGTGAATAGGAAGAGATGACTGATGTCTTTAGGCACCAGGAGCGCGATCAGATAAGTGAGCAACTGTGACTTGACGATTGCAGGATAGTGGTGCGCACAGCATCCGCTCACATCCGGTATCTGTTAAAGGTTATATAGTCGTCTTACGTACATTCCCTTATACAAGCCAATATACAAAGGCAAAACGGCGCTAACGATGACGTTTCTGTTTCTGTCAAATAAATATAGAATAGGATGTCACTTGTAACAGAAGCGTTGCATTCATTGCCATAGTCAGGGAGATAGTCTGCAAGTTTTGATCTTTTTCCTTTCCTCAGTTTGTCAATCATTGAGTTGTGCACTTTAGGTGTTTGATTGCCCTGTCACCTGGCTGCAGTAATGGTAGACGCAGCCAGCGACGGCAAAGGTTTTTCAGGAACGGATCGATGCTGCTCTTAATGCTGTTGTTTTAATGTAGCCACATGTACTACAATACTGAAATAGTACCAGCAATGAAAACAGCACTAGCAGATGACGAGCTTTAACGTGCCTGCTATGTAATGGTAAGCTAGGTTAGCTCGGCCTAAAGCGGAAGTGTTGGGGGAAAGGGAAAACGGAGGTGTGCAAGGGGAATTGGTGAATCAACAAATCAACATTGCTTTCCTAGTTGTAGTAGAGGCAATGAGTATTAAACACAGTATCACTACTGTTAGTTCGTCCGGTACCTTTGTGGCTTCCGCAGTCCCGCAGAGGTAATAAAAAATCTACAGCATCAGAAGCAGACATAACAGAGGGCAAGCCGCGGGCCCGGGAGCTGGTTTGGCACGTAATTCGACTCGAATCTTTCCTCCCCATGAAAAGCCAGAGCGTGTTGCTGTTAGATGTAATTGTGGTAGAGGCAATAGCGACGGCCGCATCGATGAAACATTAAAATGAAGAACCATTCGTTCCCTCGTGGTTAACCCGAGCCGTTGCTTTGCTTCACCTCGATAGCTGGCGAATCCTTCGAGCCTGTCGCTTAATTGACTGTGAGATGTCGGCCGTCGCCTCCTTCAGTTATATTTCCACCTCATCATTTATAGCCAGTGGCTAGTTTGGGCGATTCTTTGCTTGGCTCTCTACTCCTACTCTCTCTTCATTCCCACAGCCTTTCTATCGGTGGTCGTTGGTCGCACGGAGTGCGAGCAGTACTCAATGAAATGGGCTTGTGGCCTACGGAAACTGTGGTTCTCCAGCGCGCGAACAAGTCCTCATCGCCTCTACCATGCCACGTATCACACATTTCTTGACTTCAATAGGAATAACAGTTAAAGGCCATTAATTCTAATTTATCGTCCTATACGCCTCGTTCGATCTATCCTCTTATTAGGCACTTCGTTTCGTTATCGCTTCGGTGAAACTATGATACTTCTTGAATGGGCATACTGCTACTTTGGCTTCAATCGATCCCGAAAGGGGAACTCGAGAGAAGTTTCGCTTGCCGGAGCCAGAGGCTTCAGCAGAAGTTCTCACAGCCACACAACTATTTCATAGCCAAATACGAGCTCGAACGAAACGGCCGAATTTAAGAGAAGGTGTTCAAGTCAAAAATCATAAGAGCCAGTAATCAGTTGCTTGCAATGCAGCAGTCTAAAGGCCGCAGAAGACTATCAGTGACGCAAATTGCATACAGAATGTCTGCGCACTTAAGAAAGATTCTGCTTAGCCTTATAAAATTTTGTTGGTCATAAGAAGGCTTGCAGATGTGGAAAGAGGCAATTTCTTCAGCAGCTATAGTAGCTGCTCAGGCTTATCAGCGCTCTTGGTATATACAGTGCACATAAACGAGGCAGAGTGATAAGCGTGCGTAAGCGGTAATGTGCTACGCCGACAATATGTATGCTTTCACTAGCTTAGTCCTCCCTGCTGCAAAACACAATTTGGATTCTCCTTCGCCACAGATCGGCCACCGAGCTAGGGAGCCTTGTAGGCTGCTCATTCTACCTTTCCGAGCTGAAACTAAGCAGCGTTCGAATATCAGTACAGGAGACGGTTAGGGTCTGCCCGCAGGCATAGCGCTGATCGTCATCGAGCGAGCTGAATGGATCACAACAACGACGAGGAACGCAGTCTTTGGAGAGGACAGAGGGCCGAAACGATTGCTGTCACTGCTGCCTAAGGCGATCTCGCCACTGGGTATGAACATTGTGTGTGAAGACAAACGAACGGGATAAGTTTGCGCCGACTGCGGGGCGTCGGGGTGAAAGTCATCGTTGGCGATAATGCGGCAATTGGGAAACGATTTATTGAGAATCGTTCTAAAAAGTCGACTTAGGACAAGAAGGCGCGGCGAGAAAGGAAGGCGCAATCGACGCGGCAATCGCAGCAGCGGCAGCGGCGACAACGGCCATAGCGCGTGCGAAAGCAGTCGGACGGGCTGCGGGGAGGGGGGGGGTCTGAGCGCAAAGCAAGCGAGATGCGAAAGGCCGATTAGAAACAGCCCTTGGCAGGCGTTTTGGCTCGAACGGGTCCGCACTTCACTTTTGCTGTTCATGAAGGTAGAGGCATGAGTAGCAACAGCAAATTCGATAGAGACGAAGCTGACGAAGCAAGCCACTCCGAGCGGTGCATCGTTTTCGTCGTCATCATCGTTTCTGCCTTATCGTCGGCCGCCGACTCCAACACTGCAGATGAGTGCGGGCTAGTGCGAGCGTGGCAATACGAGATGTGAGAAGGAAAGTGCAAAGACGAAAGGAATAGGAGCAGAGTCCCGTAAAAACGCCACTCATCCAAAGGAGCCCTTGGCCGATGCTGTTCCCTTCAACTTTATCCGTTTTCTTCATTCACTCACTGTGATCCTTCTCTCTCCTTACATCCGGTTAACTCCGGTCCTTTCGGTTAAAGGTTCACTCCGCATTCGCGCGCAGACCCGACCGACACTGGCGCCATTGCAACTTCTACCACAAAAGTTTGTATAGCTTGTTGCTAGGTTTCCGTTGCCCCTGTTGCTTTAACCCAGTGGCGAACGGTCTGAAGCGGCGGCATGAACAAACTGATGCCGAGGCCGATGTCTTTCAGCCCATTGCACAGAAGAAACGATGCAGCCCGACTCGTGCTATGATGTGGTGCTGGTACAGTTCCCATTGTTTTTTCGATAGTAATAGCAGCTACAGAGGTAATGCAAAACGTCAACCTGCATTCATTTCTGCCCCGTAACTCCGATCTGCCGACTAGTGATGACGTTGCGACAACGTTTTCCGTAATGCGTACGGCAATACAAGGTGCGCCTTTTTGCCTGTTTTTGGCTAGTTTACGTTGCTGCTGGGCTGTGCGCGGTGCATACGACGCAGCGAGTGAATCGGCTGGTCTGCCTCAACACGTCCACCCAGTTGTCCGGCATCCCGCTTTTGTTTCTAGCAGAGCAGGACGGCAAACTTAGCTTCTGCCTAATGTAGCAATTGGCTAGGCAGGAAATCATTATTCCTTCTATTGCACTTCTCTTTCCATCACCTTTTCCTATCCGTCTCTTTTCTACAGAGGTCGGAACGTGCCCCGTGTCGTCTGCGTTGCAGACAACCCATGTCAGATGGACGAAGCCATTGCAGGAAGCCGCTCTTCCAGCTGCTGTCGCTATATTTGTCGTTCTTCAAAACGCTTGCTGGATCCACTATAAGTAACTAGCGGCCGATCGGGACAGGCAATAGCGATTATATGGTTTATGCAAAATACGGTCGCCGAATGAGCACGTGTGGTACGTACGCAGTAATAGAACAAAAGTAAACAAAACGAGGGGCGGGAGTACAGGTAGCAAATGAATTCTTCTTTATTACATTTGTTTCCAGTGTTTTTGGATAGCTTCAGGGTCTTTTATAGTGCCATCTATCTTAACTCATTCTGCCCAGATCGCTGTTTCTAGCAAATGTTTTGCCGGCGAGAGGACGGCGATGCAAATCAGGCTTGTTTAAAGCCGCTATAAACGAGCTTTTGTAGCCACTCGGCCGCATGCCAGCCATCGATCAATTTTGACCCAGCTCCAGCTAAGCTTCACACAGAGAATTTAGGTTTACTAACAGCTATGTGAGGCGACTCTTTCTGGAAAGTAGAATGTTAAACCTAGCGTTATACATGCTGAAATGTGAGTTACTGATGATAAAATGGCGGTACGTTTGTGGAAGATTGGAAGATAAAGGGTACAGCATGGAAAGCTATTGGAAAAGATAAAAGCCAAAAGTTAGTCCGATAATTATGCTAACGTAGCGATGGAATGAGATAGGATAAAATGTGCTTGCCTCGTTTGTCAGAAGGTACATATTTGAAGTAGTTAATATTATGCTCGATCTTGACTGAGCTTGGAAACTGGGCATATAGCAAATACAATCCTAACAAAGATTTCCCTTTAGATAGACACAGAAGATTAAGAAATCTATAGGAAAATGAAGGATAAAGGCAATGCATAGATGACATTTTTGTTGTACGGTGTATGCAGAGTTTAGTTCTGTGTCGACGTATACCCCAATGAGACCCACATATAACTTTCTCGAATGCGACCAAACCACCTAACAATACTTCTACTATTCAGGTATTTATCTGCTTTTTATTTGTGCTTCCTTCTGCGAAACCTCATTTTGTGTGCGTTTTTCATGCCTTTAACAATTTGTGCATCTAGACGTTCTTATGTAAAACATGATTAGCCCCCCACAAAGTCGTCCACTGACAAGTTGGCCTTGACCGACTCCGCTGCTGCTCAATGCCATCTAGTTAGTTCTACAATTTTAGATGGTCCACTGATGAGGGCAGCTTCAACACTCACTCATAAGCTTGGCGGGGTTCCAGTCGAGGTAGATGGATGCCCCGGTATACTTGAACTGGCTTATTCTCATTCTTTTGCATGCTTTTATACGTTATGTTGCTAGCTACAGTTGAATGCAGTTTTCATCAACCTCTAAAGAGGTCCCTTGGGTGGTGCGGACTCGTTGGGTTATTCCAATTATGCCCCTATCTCAGTTAGCAGCCGGTACTCACCAGCATCTTCCACAGAGTGCCCGCCATTCCGTTCTGCTTTTCTCACACGAAATAGAACATAGAGTTGTCTGCCTGACCGTACGTAAATCTATATGTCTTACAGGCCGCTTCTTTGGCTAATAGCAGCGGCAGAGGGTAGGATCTGCCGACCTCCCATGATTCTTCCTTGGGTCCCATTAAAAAGGCTAGCGGCTTGATGGTCATTTCGTTGCTTAGTCCCTGTTCCCTCAATACTGCAGACGGAAAACAAGACAGACAACCGGACGAAGAACCCATTTACATCGCTAATCATCATGGAGCTCCTGCAGTCATGAAGACCATCATATCATCAAGATGATAGTCAGGTTACGGTCAAAAAGTATGCACCACGCTTGAGGGAGACAGATGGACAAAGTAACCTAACGGAGCACTACAGAACTGTATAACTGTAGGCAAGAGGAAATACACAGGGGCGGGAACCGACCAAGTGCGTATATGCCAGTTAGTTTTGCGAAATTAAAGAGTCATTCGGGCGGGCGTTCTAGAGGCAACCATTAGCGCTATGAACTCGAAACGATGAAAGGGTGCGAACGAGTTGACTGTTGCGTGGCGCAATGGCCTTAGGAATGGTGACCAGACGCTTGGTTAACAGAATAGTAAAGGATGGAACTATTAAGTAGGACAAAGAACGCGAAATCTTCAAGCATACCTGTTTTCTCAGGAATGAAACGAATCCGTATCCCTTTGATTTCTGCGTCTGCGGATCACGAACAACTCGACAGTCCCTGTAATATAGCGGATTGTTAATTGGACGGAAGTTGGTAAATATCATTGCGAAACACCCTGCCTTTCCAATAGACTGGGAACAATACCATTAGCCATAATCACTACTTTTATTATATAGCTCATTTGGCCGTATCATTTTAATAAATTATTTTCTATTGGCTTCTGTATGAGCTAAATCAAAGTAATTCACCCGAAAGAAAACAGTTTTTGTGTGCGTGAACAGGTTCAGGAGCAAAACAAGCAACGGAACGCTTTTCGGTACCATTCCTTTCAAAAACGTGATAGCAAAGTCTATGCTCTGACATGTTTGCGATAAGGTATACTCGTCTATTCACTAAATGCAATCTAAACAATGTTCAAAAACCACATGTAGCTATGTATATGCGGTACGTTAAAGTTCCCTTGTTTCGGCTGCAGTGCGGCAAGGACGCTCCAAACTCCGCATACTCTTACGTTCTATCCACCAATTGCAAAGAATGCACACGCCAGAAATGTACGTTGTTTAATACTGCTTGCTTAAGACTTCACTTTTAGCCTATGCTACCTACAGTGTGAACAAAGCGTAATATCAGAATTTACGTGACGTTGAAACTTACGAGATCTCTCCGAACGGAGTAAAAGCTTCTCTGAGCTGCTGCGTTTCAACATCTGAACTCAGATCGCCAACAAAGATGTGGAAGTGCTCTGAAAAGATATTGAAATCATGTTAACGCTACATTGGTGATACAATAATATGACAGTAGTAAGATAAAAATAATAATAATTATTATTATAAATAATAAAATTGCCATGCTAAAAGCTAGCTATCGTAATCGTAACCTAATAAATAAAAAAATTAAACGGTTGTTAGAATTGTTTTTAAAACACCGCTGACACGTCAGGACATGCGAATTTCCTAAACATTTCTAAGTACTTTTTTGTTTTCTTTTAATATAAAGACCTAGATAAAAATATGGATTATCTAATGATACCTCTCTGTAAACAACAACGGTATCATAGCTCGGTACAAATTCAGTTTTTACTTTACCTCTAAATTAAATTTGCTTTTATCCACTGACTACACACAGAAACAATTAATTACAACGAATGTATGTATGTTTTCTATTGTTTGGACACTACGTCTATATAGAATATGAATGAAAAATGTTCGCGCAATTTTGCAAAAAAACATCACAATCAATAGTTTGTTTTCAAAACATACCACGGGCCCATAATAATCTAACTGTTCTTAGTAAACTAAAAAAAAGCTTCAGGTTAACGATTTTAATCACCATAAATGGGCAGTACCTAAGATTTCCTCAGAGCTGGATGGATATTGTACTTAGATAACACAGATTTTCAGCTTTCTTCTAACACATAGTGAAGAAATACCACACCTCGTTTACTCAATAGAACATTTCGAGGGTTATTTTTGGCGCCGCCGGCGTTGAGCATTACTTCAGAGTTGTAGCTTCGAGTATGATCGGTAACAGATTAAAGTGCTCTTATTTACCATAGATTAGGTAGCTGTCAGTTATGAAGTAGCCAAGCGGGTGAATCGTGGTAAAAGATAACAACAAACTTGCACAAGCCGTTTACGCCTGATCTATTTCACTTATTAAATATAAGCCCAAAAGTGAAACATGTTTCAGTATCCTGAAAGTCACTGGCGTTTACAGAGCTTCTTTCAGAAAGCATCTTTTAACCTTCTGAAAACGTCAGACTCTGGACGATTTAATATGTCCTTAAGTGCCTCTCTGTGTTTCGAATTTTACGTCTTGTATTGCCTAAAGAGTTGGACCTTCTCTCAGACGGCTGGCTCCCAGCACAAAATGAACCGTGCGTCTAAGCCCGGGTTCGAAAGCAGAACTCTAGTGGATGCATAACTTCAGTAAAAATAATTCATTAAGCCTATACATATCTACGAGTATATAATAAATAATAAAAGAAAATACTAATAAATAAATATAAGGCATAAACCAACATCGTAAGGTGGCGTGCTGGCCTGAATCTTTTTTTCTGTTCTTCGTCGTTCTTTTTGCCATTGTCTGCTTCGTAAAATCAATCCTGACGCAAAACACTACACGTACACGTTTAAAGTCCTGATCCTACAACGAGTTGGTGATGAAATATGGGAAACACTTACTGTTGGTGTCCTGTTTCGTCGATCCTGCCGGCGAATTATTCCAGTTACCCTTCATCTCCTGAAATCGAGTAGACAAGCATAATAGAATGAGCTTGCGTAGGTCGCACTTATCCAGTGCCACATAAAAACAAATCAACATATAAGTGAACGTGACATTCAAGATCGTTTGGAATAACAAGCATTTGAAATCGACGCCGTTTTATAAAGCGATTAAAACAAGCTCAGCCAGTGGAAGAAAGGTCCAACCTATATCGGCCAGGTGTTCAGGTGTGATCAGAGGTTATTATGTTGGCTTACTTTCACCCTTCCTTATTTTTCAGCACACCGCGCCGCATTAAGCTCATTTCACGTCGTCGAGGTTCTTGAGCATGGACACCATTCTAATGCATATACGACACGCAATATGTAACGAAAACATCCAAACAAGAGGGTACTGCTCGCCATTGCAGCTGTTCAGTTCTCATCGCCAATTACCCTATCGCCTGTCTGTTCAATGAGGAGACTCGTGTGAGGTTCACTGTACTTCGCAATTTTAGTTGAGCAGTTCAGTTGAGGTACGCAAGTAACCGGATGAAAGACCAGAAATTTGGTCGAATAGCTGATCTACTCTTGTGGCCGAAAGCTGTAGTTGCCTGGGGTTGGCCTGGCGCTCCGCAGCCAGTCTTTATTCTCAGGTTTCCCGCAATTATGAAATTCGCTGCAAAACACGTCAGGTTGTCGTAGGTTGGTTTGAGCTTTCGCTATTACCGTTACTCCTATCCGTGCCCTGCCAGTTATCGTAGCTCTATCGTTTCGTCTACCTGTCGTTTCAAACTGATTCCATGGAAAATCCTGCAGAATTTTAGGGGGCTTCACTAGAAGACAGCGCCACGGATAAAAACGTAGTTACAAACTATGCGAATAAGGAGACAGCTGTCGGGATCGATCTTCTTTCGTGGACTCCTCATTACCTAAAAAGGGCGTCCGTAGAAATAACGTAGCAGGACCTATAGGGAAGCGTAATCGGCCAAATAACTCAGAGCTGAGCCGGAACCAAGCTAAAGGACCAACGACAAGCTGTTGCCCCTTGAACGGGGGAAGAATCAACAGCAGCTGCTTGCTGCTTCTGCATCGCTGCATCGTTCTACGTCTTCTTGTTATTGTCGGTGCTGCTACCCAACGATAACGAACGTAACCGAACTCTCGCATCACGGAGCCAAACTACTGAGTGGATAGCGGGCAAACAGCGGTGAATCTGCCAGGTGGAGACACAAGCGCCGACTAGTCGGTCGACCAAGTGGATGCACGAAGTGCTTGGCCAGGTGAAGGGGACCAGTGTATCAGGTCAAGGGAAGTTTCGCCCACGACCAATCACAGTGTCAGAACGTTCTACTTGGAAGTGGCAGGAGTAATAGCTGACAACAAGTGCAACTCCGTCGATTGGATCACTTGCCAGCATAGTACCGCCATCGGGTTCTCGATGGTTGCATTTCGTCTGAGTGTTTGTTTTCCAATCCCATACCCCATATTCTCGCGTAAGCGCGAATCGAAATAAGCAGGCGGCGGTCCTGTTGTCCTCAGGAACGAGTTGATTATCTGCCTCTAATAGTCAAGGATATTAGTAGATGAACAAACAGGACATCTACCTAGAAGCTATAGGCGAGCAGTCGTGTTAGAAAGCTCTTATTTCGCGAGAACTTGCTCTAACGATTAAGCTATAATGTGTCGGGACATAAGGACGATTATGATTTGGCAGTATCTGTTGATATTTTTAATTTATGATTGAGTAGCAGATTGTTCTCTAGATCTACGTCTAGCATATTCTGTCTACTGACTTTCTTAGATAACGGTAAAAGTGGCCTGGCGACTGGCTAATAATAGTGGAAGTATACAAGTCTGCAAATCGCGTGGTTTTGTTTCTAGTGATATAAGCTCGGATTTTATATAAATTTGAGTAAAATAAAATACTCAGTTATTTTCGTATTTTCGTCAAATCCACGTATATGCCATTCACCCTAAATAATAAGAAATAGAGTAAACAAACTTGATGTTAAATATCTCCTCGATATAAGGTTTTTTTCGATATTAAATCGACACGGCTAGGGCGAACTAGATTAAGCTTTACGTATTACGTCCGATTCCATTTATTGTGTTGAGCGTTACGCCAATCATGAGTTCTTCCCGGAAACCTAATAGGCTGTCGTACCATCACCACACCGTTGTACGTTCTTTTTGTCGCTTTATCCGGACCGCTGCGTGTGAGTGAGTCATTATGAGCCGTTCTAACCGCCAGATCCCACCTCAGCGATAATGCATATCATTGCAGAACCCCAACGTCAGCATTTTTTAGTGCTCTCAAAGAAGCGAATTTACTTTTATGAGCTTCCTGAACAACCAGACTCGTATACACCGGGTGCCTCTGTCGATAAACCTCCTTATACTTGAAACGGCAGTAGACCAATAATTAAACGCTATGGTACTGCCGCGAAATATAAAGTGCTCTTCATACGTTTTTCGTGCTATTGTTTGGTTTGGGAAAAGTAAAATGAGCCGTAAGAGCAGGCATGGTTTATTTCTTCGATGGTATAATCTCCAGAAAATCTCTGAACCGATAAGACAAATGAGAGTTTACTGACTTCATAAAAAGCTAGACATAATGAAGATATCGAGAATGTTTGTCTACGATATCGAAACAATGTTATTCTTCCAAAAGGGACAAACAAACGCATCGTTAGAATTGACGTAAGTTACCGTTCCGACCTATTTATTGCCCCAAAAGTGGGAAATAGACCCACATATTTACGTTGGCTTCATAGGCTTACTGTAAAGCATATAGGGAGTCGTTAATACTACCACTCTACTCACTCTATTAAATATAATCAGCTACTCAGACATTAACGGATAGTAGCGGTTCAGTCCATTCTTTTACGTATATGAATCGTTTTGTGCTATATGGACTACATACACTAGGGCACTACATTCAACATAGATGTACTGTTTATTAGAATACGTAATCTTTCCGCTCGAGCGCCGCGTCATGAATAGCATCATAGTTTAGCCGGCCCCATCAGTCAGGTAATTTCTAAAAGATGTACAAATTTACCTGCTATCATCATTACTCCGTTTGTGAGCACTGTTTACTTAAAGTCAGTATTAAAAATTCAACTTCCCTTAGTTTTCTCGTGTGGCCTTTCTATCGGTGGTGTTGCCAACGGCATTCGAATTGGTTTTGCAAGGCAGCCAAATGCTATACGAGCAAGTGATTGTACTAACCTCTGAACAGCATTGATACTGGTAACTGCTTTTGCAGCAGATTCAAGTTAGCCAGGGTGTTAAGGGTGGAAACCTGCGGTGTACAAGCTTACATGGTAAATAAGAGCTATAGGCCTCTATCCAATCCAGGCTTTTCCTATCCCCAATAGACTTTTAGCACCTGGCCACCCGTCCAGCTTGTTACTAACTCTCCGCAGGTTTGCCACATACCTTATTAGGAAAAGTATTGACAGTTGCTAACGATTGCATTTGCAAAGCAGTCCAGGTTCGCTTTAGAGCAGCAGGCAGAGTCTGCTTGGACACGATATTCCAACGTAAGTACATTGTTGCAGTTGTTCCAAAAATACCGAAAATGAGAGAGACAAAGCGCATACTGCACGAAAAAGCAATACGAGAGCCACTACAGCTGCGGCCTAGACTACAGCTACGACCTGTGCCACCCATTGCATGGACATATTATTACGGGTCTCAACCCTGGTACCCTGGAGACTACGATGACGGGCTCAGTTAATCGTTGCTGCCGCTACTACGTGAGTCAGGTGGCGCAGCCTTCACGTACATGTCGATTCCTATTTTCTCTTTTTTTTTTTCTTACGGCTTCTCCCACGGAACCTACTATAAAACGCAAGAACGCGTAGATTGGCGTATAGAATTCGGGACTGTTATTAAACAGCAAGACAACCGTGTACGCCTTAGGCCGAACAAACCCTGTGACCTTTAAGCGTGCCTTGCAGGTGAAGTGTGTGTTCGGCCAAATCTATAACATCAATAATATAAGGGTCGTTGATAAAGCAAGGCGCTTCCTTTCCTCTATTCTAATAGGTAAATATCCCAAACTTTGTTCGGCGGCAGATTCAGAACGTTTACACACGAATCTATATCCATATACCCATAGAGACTCATGGAACACGGCCATTTTTAGATATTCGGCCAACTGGTGGGTCAATTACCCCAATGCAGCAGAAGAATCGTTGAAAAGGCGCCATCTGAGGTATGCACTGAGCTCCGGTAGGTCTGAAGCAGACAGGGTTTGGTACTACGGCTTTGTTCCAGTCTAGTCCTCTCCGCTTCCTTCAATAGACGTTCCACTATGTACGAATTCCCGTTTGTTTGCTGTTACTATTATTGCTGGCCAATGCTACTATGCTTGCGGGACACTAGAACGGTTATGTCGTATGCTGCTAATACCCTTACTGCTACCCCTCAAGTTTTGCACCCGCCTCGCGTTCCGCCCTAATCCTCGTAAAAGCAGATTGCCAGACAGCTATCATATATGTCAAGTGTTCGGCTGTTCTGGACGACGTCACAAACAGACTGGTGTTCGTTTGTAGGCCAACTAGTAGTGTGGGTGCGAATAAGACAGGTATTCATGGCAAGCCAAGCATCCCCTACCGTGGCCGGCCCCATATCCCAAAATCGGGAAGCTCACGAGCGAGCTGCGTTTGTAGCGTATCGTTTTGCAACTGGACGAAGCGCTACGACACATCGCGTGTTACTACCATATCACCGCATGTTTGTTCTATCGTCGTGCCAACAACAACAACAATCGGCCATAAGATAAGCGTGCAGTAAAAACAGTAGTGGCAGTAACAGTTACAAACGTATAAGGTAACGTTAAACGAATTCATGACGTTCATGCCGGACCGTGTCGGCAACGATGCAGCAGGACGCGAGATCGACATTGTTGTATGCTCAGGTAGACATTTGCACATGGGAATACATATTGCTAATGGTGAAGGTCAGACTAGGTCGGACAGCCGAAGGGGGCTGGCGAATAGTACAAGTTTACAAAAAAGAAAAAGACAG